GGAGTTGGCATGGAATATGGAAATCACATATTTTTAGAAAACCCACTTGGAGATTGCTTGCACTGAAGTCCTTTGTATGAGCTTTGGAGTTTGGGTTTAGTTAGGTGCATACTTATTAAGTTCGAGTGGGGCGTGTGGTAGATGCCTCAAAAGGCTGCAATGTCCTCCCAGGGGCTGGAGGGGACTGGTGACTGTATTCGTCCTCACTTCCTTTCCTTGTTTACCAGCTTACCATTAATGATTGGACTGAGCTGGAAGCCAGGGGCTGTGTATCCTGAGAGCCCAGGCCCGGAGAGAGTACTGGGCCTTAGGGTAAAAGTTATGATGGACAGAAAGGCCCAGGAAATTGCCAGAACCCAATGACTTCACCCTGGGATACTGGACGTCGCTCCAATTTAAATGAGACAAAAGAAGAGAGGGCATTCAGGGCACTTGTATATTAGAGTAGAGCTGGGAGTGAATAACCTAAGAATACTTTTCCAGGACTTCAAAAAGATTGAGAGAGGCCCAGCATACTTAAAGTGTTTTGAGATCCTAAGTATAAAACAACACCAACATCAAAGGGAAGAAATGTCAAAACAACGTTGCAAATGTTCTGGAATATCTAAGTTAGCATTGAGCAAATTCTGTTTACCCAAAACACAAACCCCACCATGCAGTATAATTGTGTTAGGCACAAGGTGTTTATAGGGTTTCTAAAAACTTATTCAATGTGTACCACAGGTGGTGTGGCCTGGTGATGTATCATGAGATTAAAGTTGTATGATGAATGTCATCATCTTTTCACCTTGTGAGTTCTATATATGGCACACGTGTGCCTTGAAAGTTGAAGTTTGAGATCCTGTGATGGTGAGGCCAAGGTCAAATGGCCCCTTCAGTGATAGGCCTTAGGACATCTTATCCATTATTTAAAACCCAAATAAAGTGTCCTTCTCCTCTCTGCAACATTAATCAAGAGCCAATAAATGAGCTATACTGGGAAACGGGGGGCACAAAGCTGCATAAAATACAGCTGTGCTCTGGAAGAGCTCTTATGGCTGAGGAAGCAGCCCAGTGCAGCAGCTGACTCTCATTCCGGGGGATCTTCCCTGCTCTGGCTCTTTCCTTGAGTTTGAAGACTTGACGTTTATCTCATCTCCCTTGGCTCCTCTTGCACTTAAATTCTCTACTACTTTTTGAACACACCCTATTCACATTGTATTAATGTTTGTTTTAATGTGAAAATAGATTAAATTTTATTATAAATATTTACATATTATAAATAATTAAATATGAATTGTAAGCAATTTTAATGCAAAACAGTGATCAAGGGTCTTATCCTTTGTTGCAGACTCTGCAGCAGGCAATCCTGGGCCTTGCATATTCAGCAGGACATTTTTGCTGCTTGATACTTTGTGATGTTATGGTCCCTTTTGGACTTCTAATGACAATAGTTTAAAATAACAGGTGCAGACAATGCTAATTGTCCTTTCTTCATTTTAGTAATAGGATCTCCATCTTTTTAGGGGCAATGGCTGCTTATCTGGAGATTGCATTTCCCAGCCTCCTTTGCAGAGTAAGTTCAGGCCAATGGGACATGAGAGAGAGTCATTCCTGCAACTTATGGGCTGTTACCTTAAAGAGAAGCTTCCAGTTAACTATGATACCTATTATTATCTCTACTTTTGGTACTCTGGGAGAAAAATTTTTACCTCTCCCTGACCCAGGCTGGGTGCACATATACATATTATCATATCATTTATCTCACTCTGTTGTAAGAACATTTTTTATCTTCCAGGCTCCCCGTGGAGCTCATTGAGCCTTTAGTCACATTTGCCTCCCTAGCACTGAGTAGCACTCCGTGTTCCTGCCACATTAGAGGGTTTGTTAAACAAGTGAAGGAATTAGGGAATATCCTGGACTACATCAGGTTTCCCACGTCAATCAGGATCAACTCACAAAATGATTCAAGGATCACAGAAAGCATCCTATTCGTTTTTGCTAGTTACTCGAAGTAATTGATAACAATTGATTGTATATCAATAACTAGCTCCTAGTCTCATCCCACCCACCCTATACACATCAGGGCATGCACCCATGCCTTCATGTTTTTACCATCCATTAAATGCCCAAATATCTAGCCAACAAGAACAGCCTTTTATTTTCAGTAAGTCCTTCTTAGTGCTTTACTGCGTGATTCAGCGAATGGTTAAATGTCAGTTTCAGAGAATTTGGTAACTACTTTACAGGAAATTCAGCTTTAAAAAGAGGCTAATCATCTATGTTCCTTTAAACAAAGTTAACTGGTTTGGACTGGAGGAGGGACCTTGCCTTGTGGAACTGTCATGACAATAAAGTCACATTCTGGAGCATCTCTGGGCAATGTGACGTCACCAGGCCATGCTGGACACTGCCAGTGGGCATCCATGCCATCATCCACTTTCTGAATGACTCTGATTTCCCCTGATTTAGGAATCGCAGGCTGGGTTTTGCTTGGGCTCTGAAAGGTGTCTCGGAATACCATCCATCTGTTGCTATTTGTACGGCAGAGGCATAAACAGCAAGGCAGGGTAGAAAACAGAAACAGGCTTATTGTACTTAAGTGTTACCAGGAGCAGCAATCACTAATCATGGTGGAAAGACATTTTATTTTCCTTCCCTCATGTGCTTTTCTATAAACAGCAAAACACATTGAATCAATTTTTCAAACAAACTTGTAAAATCAGAAAATACAACAACCTTTAACAGTTGGTAGCATGAATTATCAGGGGCCACAAAGAGGTTTTTAACTATTGAAACATGTTGGCAAGGTGACAAATGAGTTTTTTTCCCTTCCAAATCGTTAAAAATAGCTTTTATAAACTCTTAACTCCCTCTGATGGTGAGCTCACCATTAATCACCTTTATGACATCTTATATTTAGGCCACGGATAAATCCACGGGTCCTAATCAACCACTTTCCTGAGGAAATTGGCCAAATCCCGACTGGAGGGGGGATGGATCACAACAACCCTGCTATTCAGACAAATCTCTTTTCAAGTGCCCTTAAAGCTTTTTTTCATACACCAGTGAAGACAGCCACACAGGAAACAATAATAGTTTAATCTCTTGAAAAATTTCCTTCCTGCATTGCTGTGTTTTCAGACAGGTAGTTAGAGCCAGCCAAAGAAAATGAGCAGCAGCCCCTGCCAAGAGCAGGCTGCTACTTGAGCCTCTGAGCTCCCTGTCCCTCCTCTTACCCTGTCGCCAGTGCAGGGGCCTGAGACGGGGTGCTCTTTAGCCCAGTGGTGACCTTTACTGACCTTGGGAACACAGGAGCTATGTGCAATGTGGGGAAGGGCCATTCGTGACTCATTGTGTGACTAAGCGTTTTTTAAGCCTCTCTTCCCTTCTCCTCCCTGAGTTCCCTGGAGCATCTGGTTGGGAGGACACGCGTTGTCTGGAGAAGCACATTTGGTTCTCAGGAAAATGCTGTTTCTCACAAGATGGAATCACTGTATCCGTGTCTCTATCTTTTGCTCATGAAACCTTGCTGATTTAATGGTGAGCAGTGCAGGCTAGTTCTAAGACCACGGGGGAGTGTTTTTGCCTTACCAAGGCTCCCAAGAATCTGAGCTGGTTCTGAGCTTTGTGGGGCGGACAGGACCCACTTTCTGTAGGTCCACTTACTTCACCCTCTGCCACCAGTGTGGGACACTGGCCTTTGATTACCTCCAACAATCATTGTAGGTTTTGTTTGGGCTATCAGATATGTTTCCTTAGGGATTTGGTCACAATTCTCATGAAGGTCTCATTCTCCCTTGCTTCAAAGGAGCTCCTTCCAGCCAGCAAGTTCACTGCACTGTGGACAAAAAGAGACCACCCCTCCCACCCATCCCTGCCCACAGGCCATTGACCTCTGGCTCAGGTTCTGTTCTCTTGATCGTTGGCTGCGAGCTTTGCTACCCACCCACGGAGTGCATGACTGCCTTACCACACCATCTAACTCTCCTGGCTCTCAATTCTGGCTTCTCACCCAATAATCTTTTTGTTTTTTCCCCTTGGCTTGGCGATTTCGTGAACAACTTGCAGGGCCCGGACAAAATTAGTTGCATTTCTACCTCTTGTGTATTCCCCCCTGCCATACTTGTGACTTGTATAAAGAAAAATAAACTCTCTTTAGATAGACTACAGCAATGCCTCTGATGAGGAGAGAGGGGGCAAAAGGATTCATTGGCCAAACTCCTGATTGGCACACAAAAATGTAAACAAAATTAGTTGTCATAAAAATAGCCCCTCAAGGCCACCCATGGTGTCTAGGAATTCTCTGGATCTGTTCTCATGGATTTTCAGGCCAAGCAGAAAGTACATGAAAAAGGGCCTAAAGATTTTCATCTCTTTTTTCCTCCATTATCAAGGATAACTGAAAAATCAGTTTTGTAATATTTTCCTTAGATGAGTGCCTTAGCCAGTCAGGAACATTTTCTCAGCAGTCTAAGTCAGAAAATCAGCAATCCATAACCACAGAGTACCTAAGGAGGGGTCCATGGCTCACGCTGTTGTTAAGAAATATCAACAACCAAGTGGAACCTTCAGGTATTCATCATATTGTTATTTATAATAGCAATAAATTATTAATGACATATATTTCCAGCAAGGAAGGAGTGCTTAATCCGATGTTAGTACCATTCATATAATGACACTTATTGCAGCTGTGAAAAGTCAGGTTTTCTGACTAAAACTAAATTAATGGGGATTTGCTTACATTATGCTAAGGGGAAAAAAGTAGAATACACTGTTTATACTATTTGATTCCAATTTAACTATATTTATTAGAAAAAAAGATTATTTCTGGTTAATGGAATTAGGAGTGGTTTTAATTGCATTTTTACAACTTTTCATAATTTCCAAAATATTTTTAATACAGAAACATTGTTTTATAATTCAAAAAGCCTTAGGCATTATTTCTGATTCTATCACTACATCAATTTTACTTCTTTTGGATCCTGAATCCTTCTTGAGTTGTCTTCTTTTTTCCCAAGGTGTTTGCCCATGGAATTCTATGTAATTTTTTCTGAATTTTTCAAATATACTCTGCTGCCTGGTTGTGAAACCCCAAGGTAATACATTCATTTTCTTTTGGATTGCTGTTACTTCTACTCTCTTGGCAGTTTGTTTCAGTTGATCTGAATTTGGTTTTGAGTCGGACTTCTCATTATTTCTTCTACTTTCTAACAGATGAAATTATCACTGAAGTGAGTGAAGAATGTAATAGATACGGTGCTCTCTAGAAGTGTCTACAGGTAAGTTTTCTATTCCTTGCCTCTTGCTCAGCCTCTGAGTTCAATCAAGCCAGATTCTTCCACACTTTTCCCCTGGTCTTTGGTCTCTTGACATATAGATCATGACATGACACCCTTCAGCTCATTTTTTTTTCTTGTTCACATTTAAATGCCCTTAACTCTGCTTATACCCTTAGCTTGGTGGTTTCTTCTCACATGTCCCAGACTCTGTCCCTGTCCCCAAGACAAGGTTGAGGTCCAGTCTTTCTCTGTCCTTCCCTCACCCCTGCACATCTCCATCAACACCTTGACCACCTCGCAGGGAGATTAAGTGTCTATCCCCCTCCACAAGGGCAGTGACCACTTCTTATTTATCTCTCCAACCCCACTGTGTAACACAACGCTTCAGTTTGGTGAGTGCTCAGAACAATGACGTGAACTGAATTATGCCTGTTTAATTTATATTACCTAAGCTGCAGGATCAGTTTACTTTAGATGTTGCTGTGTTACTGATATGATTCCTAGTACATCAAGTGTCCATGGTCTTTTCAACTCCTTGCACTAAAACCTCATGCTTCTTTGTTTATCAGCTCTACCAGGTACATTGGTTTGCAACTGGTCCTTTCTCTTTTATCATGTCTAACTCTGTCAAGTCATACCTACAGAATTATATTCATACAGAATTCCGTAGATATCCTGTCTGATGAATTTGCTTGTTTAATTTTATTTGGGAAGTTTTCTCCTTTCTCAATTTTTATTTGAAAGCTCTTCAAAGGAGGAAGGGTAGAGGAGAGGAAGGGAGAGATAGAGAAAGAGAGAGCGAGGCAGAATGGTTGTTTCTGTATTTTGTGTTAAAAATTTTTGTGCTGTGTATTTTCAGTGAACACTGCAGTGATTCTGAACTAAACACTATTTTTCCTGGAGTTTTGATAGCAGGTAGAGGATAAAGACATTGAGATACCAACCGTTCAGGGAAAAGTTCTATTGACTCGTATGTTCTAAAGAGATCTTGAATTAATGCTGCTATACTGGAGATGTCTTTGGATAGTGGCATTACTATATAAACAGCCTCTGAAACAATAAAATTTGTCTCAAAGTCGAGATCTTTGAGAGATATTTTTAAGAGAAAGTTCTATCTTCTGGGCCAATGAAAGATAATGAACGTCCAGAATTTGATGTTTGATAAGAAATTTCCCTACTCTATATAATTTTAAGAGAATATCTTATAAGACTGACTGATGAACCAAAATAAAATTCAGAATAAACAAGACATAAATGAATGGCAGGGAGGAAGGTTGTCAACGCTGGATGAGTGTGTCTCTCTTATTACCTCTGCTCTTCCTGGATGCCTGTAACTGTAGTCAGCTAAGCCCCGATTTGCCTGACTTAACTTCATGAAAGTTTTTGACCTAATAAAAAAATAAGGTGTGGTGGGAACCAGAGTGAGAGCTAGCCTGGACGAGCCCAGCCTAAGCACTCAGAAACAGGCTCCTCCAAAACAATGCTTTGCCCAAGTCAAGGCCATGTCACTGTGTCAGTGCTTTGCTTATTTCAGACCAAAGTTGAGATGAGCTAGAGAATGTTCACGTGCCTCTGACCCTTACTCCACTCTGCTTCTTTTGTCTAGTTGTTGAGGGAGACCCTGGCCCAGAAAACTCAAAGGATTCATTCCTCTTGAAAGCACAAGAAATCACAATGTGATTTCCTGACCCCAGAAGACATGTGTGGATGTTGACTGTCTGTGTGGGGCAAGGTGAGGGAGGGAGAGTGGCATGCCACACTGGATAGGTGGTCAGGGACCAAAATTCTTCTCTTGCTCACTCTCCTTTGCCCCCACCTAAGCTAGGCTTCTATGATCTTTCCAACAGCATGCTAAGTGTCCACCAAGCTGATCATTTTTCTCCTGGTCACATAGGAGACCACATTCCAGACCTCCTCATTCTCTACCAGCTGGACATGGTCCAAGGAGAGCTCCAAGGTCAAGTTCCATGGTGGATTACCAGGAGGAAGTGTGGAATTGCCTTGTGGAAGGACACCGTTGAATGTCTGATGAGACTGTGATATGAGTGGTACATAAATCTTCATTAGGTTAAGCTGCTGATTTAGGGTGGTTTGTTACAGAGAGGTTAGACTGTCTGACCAATACAAGGTGGTTGCAAAATCTGACTTTCCAATGACCAGGATGGCCTCCTGGTTCTGTACCTCAGATTCTTCGTCTATAAAATGGGACACTCATAATACTTACATCATAGGGATGTGGCAAGGTCGAATCACAGAATAGTGCCTGATACTGTCAGGTGCTGGCCACTACTACCATTACTAGTCTGATTACTATTACCTCTACTAGGACACCACCCTATTATTGCTGTGGAGCTTTTCTTTTTGGAGAAGGAATACCATGAAGTAAATTGGTGCTCATTTCAAGAAAGCCTACCATGGATCTCATGCTTCTTGAGAGGGGGGGAAATGGGTTTCTTGATGAGAACCCATGTGCAGTACTAGCTAAACTAACAAAACAAGTCTTAGATCATGTCACTCAGGGATTATGTGCTAGGAGCTGGTACATTTCCTGTTGTTATAGAAGCTGAATATTACCTAATGGTTCACAGTGGGTTTAGAGGAGAGAGGTCATTTATCAGAAAATTATTGAAGAGTTCATGGAGAAGCAGTTAATTCTTTAATCTTTCTAGTTTATTTGGGAGTAGTGATCTCACTCACTGTAAACAACACACATTGAACTGGCCCTAGAAATTTAACAGTGGACAGAGGGCAACTCTGACTTTTCAACAGGTGTTTGCCTCATGAAACTCAGGTAATGGGATTTTAAACAAAAACAATGTGGCGTCTACAGTGATGTCCCAACCAGTCAGTTAGGATAGTTAGAACAATTCCAACTGCCTAGCAGATAGAGACTGCTGTCTGAGTCCTAGGAAGGTATAGTTTGGAAGTCTAGTGTGGTTATTAAAAATGTGGACTTCGGAGTCAGATCTCCTGGCTTTGAATTTGGCAGCTTACCAGCTATGTGACCTTGGACAAATGACTTAGTCTCTCTGAGCTTTGGTTTCTTCTGTTGTAAACTGGAAATAATCATAAGACCTCTCATAAAGTTGTGAGGGTTAAATGAGTTAATACATTTAAAAGGTTTAGAATAGAATGATACTAATTATTATTATTACCCTCACTATTATTCTTATTAGAAAACATTGTTTAGTAACTTGGTCAGGAACATAGTCCACTATGTCAAAGGCGTTTTGAGTTTTATAACACTGAATTTCAATCCCAAGGAACTCCTCCTTGGGGCTTAGTGTAGAACTGTGCTTGCCTCACTCAGTGGATGTCCCATCAGCAACAGGAAGAAGAGGATTCAGTGTCAAGATGATGCGATGCACCATTTGCACCAAGATGCTCGTTTCATACTTTTTGTTTGTAGATATTTTTGAGCCAACGAGAATGCTTTTGAAGGCTGTTTACCGATGAGGACTGGAGAGAAAAGAGGGAGCCTGGTGGACAGAAGCACAAAGAGCATTTACGATGCTGAGCCATCTCTGAAGATAGAAAGAAGCTTCCGTCTTCCCGTCTTGCAGAGAATTGTTTTCCAGGAAATTAATTTTTTAGTTCTTCTTCCCTTTTGTCTCTCCACTTTCCAACTGATCTTCAAAACATAATTGCAAACCATAAGGCATGTTTTTTAATCTTTTTGTTTGGAAATAATTTCAATCTTTTAGGAAAACTGCAATAAGAATATAGTCATGTGCCGCATAATGACATTTTGGTCAACGATGGGCCATGTATGTGACAGTGGTCCCATAAGATTAGTACCAGACAGCCTAGGTGCATAGTAAGCTGTACCATCCAGGTTTGAGTAAGTACACTCTATGATGTCCACACAACAAAATTGCCTAAAGATGCATTTCTCAGAATGTATCCTTGTCATTAAGCAAAGCACGACCGTATTTACAAGGAGGAAACTAAATACGCTTTTCTCAGATTCAACTTTTTTTACTCCATTTGTGAACATTTTACCCCATTTGCTTTCTTATTTGCTCTCTCTCTTTCTACACACATATGTATACACATACACACGTAATATTTTTTTCTGAACATTTGTAAGTGAGTTGCATACATCATGACCTGTCATCCCTAAATACTTCAGTGTATATTTCATAAGAAGAAGGATAATTATTCTCTTACATAACCACAGTGCACTTATCAACTTTAGTAAATTTAACATCAATATAATATTTTTATCTAATCTTCTATCCATATTCCAATTTTGTTAATTGGACAAATAATATCCTTTAGGACATTTTTTTCTTCAATACAGGATCCAGTCTAAGATTGCATGTAGTGGTATGTCTCTTTAGTCTCCATAAGGCATATTTTAAAAAACATTGAATACTTTTAAGCACTAAAAGGTTAATCTTACTTTATTGCTCTTAATAACAGAAGCAAACCAACTTGATCTATTCATGATACTTGATGCTATAATGAAAAAGAATTAAAATGCTCATCTCTTAGAATGATTTACTTTTTTGGGTGCCAATTAGAGGTAAGTGTTTAATTTTTCTAAGTTATCTAATAGTTCTATTCTGGTGCTTCTCTTTCCATAAACTTTTCATGGATAAGCACTCTCTTCCTTCCTCAAATTTAATTTGATATATGTATGAGCATCAACAAAATGAAACTCCAGGGAAATCTTTCAGTGTATAGCATGGGGAAATGCATCTTTTTGGAATTCAAATGGAATCTTCACTTTTTCAGACTCAAGTTTGCTCAGTCAAACATATTTTTATACCATATAGCATATATCAATGCCATATATATATATATAGCATATATATATACATATACCATATATCAATATATTTATTGATATAATTCCATCAATATTTTAAGGTACCTCTCAAGTTTCTGGAACCATAACAAATTACTGGGGGAAAAAATGAGCCAACCCTTAAACCCTCTTCCAATGAGTTGAACAATGAAATAGGAAATAGTTTTAAGATCTGAGGTCTCTCTTTTCATTAGTAACAATTACTTCTTTGGCTGTTTCTTTTGCTCTTTATAACAGACTTCTGTAGGAGGGACCAGCAGCTTTTTAGAGTCAGCATGCTACATCTTTTTACGAATTTCATGAAAAGAATGATATGTGTGTGTGAGGGGGTATGTGGAGTGAGGGGACAGAGGGAAAAGCAGCAGTCCCTTGCAGTTCCATTCTTCAGAAGCCAGTAGGTGGTGAATTAGCTTAGTCAAATCCAGTGGTGGGGAGAGAGGTAGTTGAGGACAGCAAGGGAAGTGTGGGCTCCACAAAATAGGGTCAATGGATAGATGGGAGATGGTGGAGGGCAGATAGGGCGGTTTTCCTTTACAATCTTCTGAAGTTTAAATGTTCCTGGAAGCCATTGTCAGTTCATTTATAAGAGAGTAGAACTATTATAGGACCCAAACCAACCAACCAACAAAGGGCCATGTGGAGAGAGGGCTGTCTTCAGAAAGAGTGGAGTGAATGGTTGGTTGAGTACTCCAGCAGGGAATGCATTTCTGAGAGTAAGGAAAAAGAAAACACGAGGGAAACTGGTGTTTGAATTTTGGATCAAGATGAGAATAGTATGGGAAAGAAGGAAAGTTCTGGAACTTCATGTCTAAGGGAGAGAAGAGTGAAAATAAAATCCTAAGTCTAAGTGAAGATGGAGTCCTATAATTGACCAGTGGCTAGGGCATGAGGAGGAAGCTAAGGTGAGTCAGAGACAGCTGAAGCATAGAATTTTTGGACTTCCTGAAAAATGCAGAGGTGTTCCATTCTTAAGTGGTAGAATTTAGTCCACTGGGATCTAACATGGATGAGTTCCTATCTTCCAGTTCTCATGCTCACTTCTATTAGAAAAGATTGGCAACTCTTAATTACCCTTTGTGTATTAAAAGGCTTATCACCTCCATTTCAGGGGCTTACAGACTGGTTTGGTGTGGGAATACCTAAGTATGCTCTTTCTGCAGCTTCTCAACAAAACTATTCTTAGCAGCTGTGATCTGTTGTGGAAGTTAGTGTGATACTGAACAAGTTAAGCAGGTTGTCAAATTGTCTTTCCTGTGTGACTTCTACAAATTAATCTGAATATTTTATAGACTGACTTTATAGGGAACAAGAATCTGGAATATAGTCCAAGTTTTTCTTAATGTGTAAGTGGGATTAAACTTTAAATGCTCTTGGTAAACACTGAAGATTTAGCTAGATACGATATAATGAGGGATGTTTAATGACCCCTGACATTTTTTCCATCTTTCAGCATGTATGTAGAGAGAACTATGAGTTAAAGATAAATAAAATCTACCTGGATATGATACTGGACAGCATCCATCCATTCCCAGAATGACAACTTTTATGTCTTGATTTTAATAATCCATGGAAGACGAGAGGGTGTGGTTCCTTCAGAGGCTGGTGAAGTGCACCTTCCTCAGCCCATCAATTCTTTTTCCTGCTGTGACTCACAGATTGAAGGCAATAGTGAAAATCCCTTAGTTTCATAAAATATAGTTGGATATTTAGGTAATCATGCTTGTAGTTTTGACCTTTTGCTTTCGAATTTTTGTAGAACAAATAAATAGCACGCATAACAAATAAAAGTTAAATTATGTTATTTGTATGGTTGATCAACACGTAAAGATAAACTACACATGCATACATATATTATGTTTAGCTCTACAAAATTTTCACTTTTGGGGTAAAAATGGATAAATATTTCTAATTTCATAGGATTAAACCTAAAATATGTATAGGCATATTGCATTTCTACTAATCAAATAATAACATAACACAGTACAATTCCAGGAAAATATGTTGTGAATAACAGCCTCTCTATTAAAATATTCAAACTAATTTGTAGAGTGGTCAAGCCAATGGAAGTCACTATACTAGTGGGTGCAGGTGGTGTGCTTTGTTCTGTGGGAGAATTGGGGGTTTGAGTTAAGAATGAGACAGTCAGGAGTCAGAAAGATCTCAGAGGCTATAATATCTGAGAAAACTTGAAAATAGGTTTTCCGCTGATGAATAGTGGGGATGGAGTGTTGTATGAGGGTGCAAGCATGTCAAGGAAGGATCTTCCTTCTGGGAGCGTAGGTAACAAGGCTGATGGGTTTGAAGAACTACCGCAATACTGTAGATTAAAACTCATCAGATGCCAGACCTTGGAAAGTCTTGTATGCTGCTCTAAGAAATGCGAAACAGCTTCTGCTCTTATTCTAATACGTTCCTTTTATGGAATCTAAAAAAAGATGCATCAGTCTTTAGTGTGTATGGTGAGCCAGAGAGCAAGCTCAAATGGAGCACTGAGAATTGAGGTTCCAGTGCCCCCAAATCCATCTGTCTAGCCAGATCTCTCCACAAGCTTGTGGTGTAGGCAACAGAGAGGTGGTGAAAGGTTTTAAACAATTCCAGGGTGTGGGATAAAAGGCAGTGAAGGCACTGAGATACCATTTCTAGTTCTGCATTGAAGGGGGAATAATGGGGCCGGAGAGGACAGATTCAAGTGGCTTTAGGTAAGCTGTTCAGCAGGATTTGGATGTGACTTGGATGATGTTGGGGGATGATGGAAAAGGTGGAGTCCAGGATAACTCCCACATCTCAGCCTGGTTTCACCTGCAGAGGGAGCAAAGAAGTTGGCCTTGGTAGTGACATTTGCCTCTTAGACATCCATGTGGACGTCTGAGTGCCTCTGAGACATCCGGCAGGCAATTCAGTCTGGAACTTGTAGAGGGGTCTGGGCCAGACAGCTGGATTTGGGGGCAATGGGTGCTTCAATCCTCAGTGCTCCATTTTGGCTTGCTCTCCAGCTCAACATGCACCCAGAAAACCGTCATAGATTGCTGGTAGAGTCTATGTGTGGAAGAAATTAGGATAACGGGAGATGCTAACTCTCTATCTTGCTACCAAGTCACGGAAATTTGCATTATTTTCTTCCTTAAGGCAAAACCAGTGGTGTCATTTGAGAAGGAGTTTGGGGCAGGAGGAAGGGACTATTTGCTTACTTAGAGCTCATCAACCAAAAATAGTGCTGTAGAAGTGGAATTAAAATTGTGCTTGCAAAGCTTGCCACACTGGGCTGAGCTTTCAGTGTAAATGCAGAGTACCTTTGGCTGAAAATACATGTTTTGTAGGCGAGGAACTTTCATGAGCTTGGAAGGAATGATTATTGTTTAATATACACACATAGAATTAGAATTTAATGTACATGTGTAGAGTTATAATTTATTATAGACATAGTGCCACCTGGACTAACAGAAACTCCTGTCCTTAGGAACTTGGAAAGGCTGAGCAGAAAGGAGGGGGTGCAGCATGAAGCAACATATCTCAAATCAGAACCAACTCACGGAGGCTGGCCCCCAAAGTTGTCACTGCTGCAGCCTACTGCAATGTAGTCGGGTCAGGTGGAGTTCCCCAACTGGACAAAGAGCACCATGAACATTGACTGGCAATACTTCAGAGGCCTTTTGGTGATTGTTAGACTGGGCAGGACAGGAGGTGACACTGTGCAATGATTGAAAAAGAGACTCTGAAAAGATAGAGAAAGGAGAAGGAACTGGTGGTTTTGAAATAGAGCTGTGGATAGAGGGGGTCAGGGGAAGAAGAGGATGGAGGACATTCATCTTCAGAAGAAAGCATCAGGGATCCTGGCTCTTGAAGAGAGGAAGGGAGACAGGGTAGGTGCTGGTTGCATGGGGAAAGATGACAGAGCATGGATATGAGACCCAAGCACCCCCAATAACTGGGATTGGACATTTCTAGTCAGTCTGCCTATGAGGAGAGTGATAAAGCCTGGTGGGGATATTTGATGGATGAACCAAGGAAGAAGTATGTGAGGTGAGATTTTTATAAAGATGTGGTGGAAGACCAATGAGATTGTGAATCAGGGATGGAAAATGTAGGACGTGTTTACTTCCTCTTTGGGCAGGAAAAGAAGAAAAGAAAACCCATTGGCTTTAGAATTTTTATATGTTTGCTAAGTGAAGTGACAAAATAGCGTCTGAGAAGAGACCTTTGAGACACACCAGTTGAAAGAGGAATGATGGTGAGAAGCTATTAGTGTTTAAGGGCTCCCTGAACCTGTGAGAGATAAGATTGGGTTTGGCTCAGGAAGGAGGACAAAAGATAAAGGTCCAGGGACAAGTGAGATAAATCCAACCGTTTTTATGGGAGAAGAGGAAGAAGAAAGAAGTGGGATCCCCCAGATAATAAAAAAGTAGGAGTCCAGAAAGCGAAAGAAAAGGCCTCAATGAGTGTGAAGTGAGCCAAGAACTCCGGATTTGAACCCAGAGTCAAGTCTTTCCATCGGTGTTCCATGGGCGAGTACTAGCTTCTCCAAGTCTCAAGTTTTCGTTCTCTGATTTTGACACGGGGGCTAAAATACATTCTCTGAAGGATGATTGAGCAAATTCAACCACCAGATCTCTCATCTATTTTTATTTTCTATCCTATAATGGAATCTATCTGGAGGTTCATGGAGACGATGTGGTGAGGGAGCAGCAGGAAGGATAGAATCCACGGGTATAGGATATACACATAGGGAGGGGGCTTCACAATCATCTGTTCAATGGGAAAAGTTAGAGAGCTCTCTTGGACTACAGTCATAGGGCTTGGAGGTAGAAACACACAGATCCCAAAAGAGAACACTTTGCTTACCATCTGCCCACTTCTTGGAGTTCTGGCCTTGTAGTTGGTCAAAAGGCAGCAAGGATCCGTGAAGCCTGTTCTGAATTCACCCAAGTCTATGTGCGAAAGGCATCCTTCTTTCGTCTTCCCACGCGAAGCGCAGCTATTAATTACACTAAGTGACAAAGATTCTCCTTGTTGCTTGATGGACACAAGGATGAATCTTTGTTACTGATTGCAAATAATAGAAGTCTGATGGTGATCAAGAGTTGGGCCTGGAAAACATGCACCAAGCCACACAAGGGGCATATGGCACCTTCTTCTGAATCAACCCCAGAGGCTGCAGGGAAACAGAGTGGGTATTATTTGGTCAGGTTCCTCCCATGAAAATATAGCCTCCATCCTTTTTTGCTTGTTCGGTTCTGGCACTGGAACAACCTGTCTCTTTACATTAGTTCATTTCTGTAGAGAAATGGTCATTTAGAAGGAAATAGTTGGAAAATCTAGGCACGAATCCATTTTTAAAGTCACAACTGAATGATTGCTTTCTTATTGTGCTACATGGGGCTGGAAAAATCATTCCTTTCTGTACATATTTTTCTTTTTTGCTTTGTGTTTTCATTCTGCTTAAAACACACATATGTGCCAGAAATGAAAACATTTTCAAAGGGCAAGTTTCAAGGACTCCTAAAAATAGGACCTGTTGCCAAATATACATTTCCCCAATATGTAAATGACTGAAAAGGAGCACAATGAAAAGCATATGCTATTCAAATTTTTTTTTGAAACGTTTAAGAGCTGGAGGATTTGACTTGTAGCCTTGAAACTCTTTAAACTAGTGGTTTCCATTTAAATTTTACCATAAGTCTTCGGACATCATTCTTTGCATATTTTACATTTGTCTTTTAATCAAACCTGTATAAAAGTTACTAAGAATAGTTTTATTTTCCAAATGGGGAAATGTTATTTCTTTTATCATTCTGTGATTTGACATGAAGATTTCAAATAATTATCAAGGCTAAATGATGTCCAGAACATCTGGGCCCCTAGCAGCTGCTTCATTAGACCCAAGGATGAATCAATGAGTTGGATAGAAGAGGCAAATTTATCATAGTAAAAAGCCTTTCATTTCTTTCCTTCTGTGGTCTGCAATCAGGAACTACCTCAAATTCTTTCTAAAAAAATTTTTTAAAAGGCGGAGCATAAATGCATTAATTAAACTTGTAGAAGTCAGCGTTAATAAGGATGTATTTCTGTGGCGGTAACCCAGTGTCAGTGAATGCCCTCTACACTTAAAGCTGTGCCTTGTAATTTAGAAGAATTATCATTTATTATGAAAAATCCCACTGGTGAGCTAGTTTCTCAAATGCCTTGTTTTATTTTCTGAAAAAAATGTTTTTTGATCAAGAACAAGTCAAGACATAATTATTACATGTCATCTGTCAAAGATTCACAAACCTGAGTGGCCATATCTTCCTGAGAAGGCTTTCATGGGGCTGGAGTCCTGAGTTCGCTTCTCTCCTTCCAGTGCGGTTGTGGAGGCAGTGCAGGTCTAAGAAACACCACTGAAGGGCTAGACCTTTACCCTTGGAATTACATGCTTTCCCAGGTCTGGTTAAATTTTGCCTTCCATATCTTAATATTTCCGTGATAGGGCATGGAAAAAGAAACTTAGAAAAGGTTTCATCTTTGTTGTTAAAAAGTTATGACCTTTGCTCACATTTGCCAGAGAAAGTGGCTTATAGCAGCAATTAACATGAATTATTAACTCTTAGATTAATAATTTATTAGAAACCTAACGGCCCTAGTCACTGCCAGATCACACTATTGAAAGGAAAACGAAGAAAACAACAGAGCTCTAATTATAACCATTTGTCGATGATGCTTGGAATAAGGAATGGCGTTTAGACTTTCTAAAGGATTTTTTAATTTCCCCTATAGTATCCCACTGGCTGCAAAGTCAGACAAATTAACTAATAATTCCTCTAATGACTTGTGTAGGTGCTGATTTTTAAAAAGTTTTTATTTCACAGATACTCATATAACTCTTCCTTTGTGTCAAGTTCTATTTGAAGCACTTGTGCATATTAATTCGTGAATTCTCCTAACAACCATCTGAGCTGCACACTGTTAGAATCATCCACATGTGCCCGAAGCTGTGCCCAGAGTCACGCAGGTAGATGGTAACCAGGTGCATTCGTTTGCCAGGGCTGCTGTGACAAAGTACCATAAACTAAGTGGCTTAAACAACAGAAATGTATCGTCTCACAGTTCTGGAGGCCGGACATCCAAGATCACGGTGCTGGTAGGGTTGCTTCCTTCTGAGGGCTGTCGGGGAGAATTTGTTCCACGCCACTCTCTGAGCTTCTGGCAGTCTTTGGTATTCCTTGGCTTGTGGAATCAATACTTCGATCTCTGCCTTCATTTTCACAGGTAATTTTCTTTCTGTGTGTGTCTGTGTCCAAATCTCCCTGTATTATAAGGCCATGAGTCTTATTGTATTAAGGCTTACCCTAATGACCTTGTTTCAATTGATTACTTCTATAAAGACCCAATCTCCAAATAAGTTCACATTCTGAGGTTTTGGAGGGTTAGGACTCCAATATATGAATTTTGGGAGGCAGGGGAGTGGACACAATTCAGCCTATGACACCGGTAGACCTGGGGTCCCAACCCAGGAAATCTGGCTTGAATCTGTGCTCTTAATCACCATGCTAGTCTGCCTCCCATATGTTGGTCTTTTCTTATTAAGGCAAGTTCAATTTAGAGCATCTTATTGATTCGTATCCAAGAATTGTCTCCAGCCCAGTAGCTCTTGGGGACACTGTCTTCTTGACCCCAGGCAGGAATCTGGTTAATTTAGGGGATCACACTGGTTCGTAGCTCAAGGATCTCTAAATTCCCTTCCAGCTCCAAGCCCACTGTGTTTTGAAATCTAAAAGCTCTTTCAGCTCTTTCTGTTTGACTCTGGAGTACATGTTTTCTTAAATCCACATTTTGAAGGTACTTGAGGAGGGAGAGGCCTAATTACTTCCTTTTTTCCTTCCAAATTCCTGTTCCTGGAGCCATGATTAAGTAATACTTACAGCACCTCTTGCAAATCTCCCTGACCTCATCATGTCTTGAAATGGAAAGAGAGAAACCGAAAGACCCATGAGTTTAAGTTGATGAGGAAGCAAAGCTTGAAAATCCCTGTTCCTTAATGGAGGAGAGAAAAGGGGGGAAAAAAGGAAGAAAAAGAAGAATTGGGGAAGATAAAAGAGCAGAGAAAAGAACTTTGTAAATGAAAATAAAAATAGGGTTTGGGAAATTGTGTGTTGTTTCATCAAACGCCAATTTCCGAAGGAGAAAAGTGACATCTCACACATGGTTTTCCTTTTTTCATTTTTATTCCTTTTTCCTTTTATTTATTTTTATTGAGGTCACATTGGCTTATAACATTATATAGATTTCAGGTGTGCATCATTATATTTCAACTTCTGTATAGACTGCAACATGTCGACCACCAAATGTCTAGCTGCCATGGATCGCCATACACGTTTTTTTTTTTTTAAAGATTTTATTTTTTCCTTTTTCTGCCCAATGCCCCCTGGTACATAGTTGTTGTATATTTTTAGTTGTGGGTCCTTCTAGTTGTGGCATGTGGGATGCAGCCTCAGCATGGCTTGATGAGCGGTGCCATGTCTGTGCCCAGGATCCGAACTGGTGAAACCCTGGGCGCCAAAGCAGAGCGCACAAACTTAACCACTCGGCCACAGGGCCGGCCCCCTACGGTTTTTCTAATGATGAAATCAGGGTGGAGATTTACACGTGCAACTTCTTATGGCTTTGTTCCCCTCAACCCCTTGCTCACTCTGATAGCTGTCTGGAAGGTTCATCATAAAGGTCAGACTCCCACAACAAATCCTGCATTTGGCTTCCAACCTCAATATTTTTAGGATTTTCTCCTTTCTTTCTTTTTTGTTTCTTTGGGAGTACAGACTGACTAGCATTTTAGTGCAGTTTAAGTCTCAGACCACTTCCTTGTTTTTCTTCTCTTTTGAAGCAAAGAATGTGATGAAATCATGCAGGAGAATGCCCGGTAGATTATAGGAACTCTTTCCTAGTTTGCTTGAATACATTGTCCACCCCTTTCAGTATGTTTGCAAATTTACTCTATTCTGAAGGTGGAGGTCAAGGAATCATTTCTAAAGTGACTCTAAAAAAGGACAGGAGACACAGAGAGGCCATTTCAGAGGGTAAGGTGAGTCCAGAGAGAGGAAGCAGGGGTCAGGGCTTTGTGCCACTGGGTTTCTAAAGGAGAGATGTCACATCTTTAGGAATTTCTGATTCTTGCCTTGAAATGACTGGCCTGGAAATTTGATCAGGCTCTTTCTTCTCTCACTCTCTTAAGGGCTACCCTTCTTTGGGAGCCCCAACAAATGTTAATTTGTACAGAATCTAAGAGACTGGTAGATTGCAAGATTGGATTTACTTTTCCCTGTATGCATGCTCATTATAATGTAATTTTGCAATTTTCACACCAAAGGGTAGAGTCATAGTCTGTTTTTCCTACCTTTGATTCTGGGCTGCCCTGTGACTTGCTTTAACTAATAGAATGCAGCAGAAGTGATGGTGTGCCATTTCCGAGCCTAGCACAAGAGCTCAAGAGGTCTCGTACATGGCTATTTCTTCTTGAAACCCTGCCCAGATACCCTGTGAATAAGACCAGGGTAGTCTGCTGGAGGATGAGCAACAATGTGGAACAGAGGTAAGATGTCTCAACAGAGGCCATCTTCACTAGCCTGTCCTTGGCCAACTCAGCAGCTAAAAGGAGATGAGTGAGTGAGAACAGGCAACATCAGGGGAACCATACAACTGAGCACAGCCTAAATTGTTGACCAAAACAATCATGAGCTAAAGAAGTAGTGGTTGTTTCAAGCTACTAAGTTTTAGTATGGTTTGTTATGCAGCAATAGCTAACTGATATACTGGCCTGGAAATTTGACCAAATTTTATGCTTTCTATTCTCTTTTGTTGCTGCCTCAACAAATATTTGTGTATAAAGAAGACTTAGCATTGTTGGTAATCACCTCTGCTGCTCTTGGCAGAGTGATCATTGCTAGCGGAGACTATCCTAAGTCAGTCCTTGAAGTCACCATCAGGCTTCCTCCTTTTTGGTGAAAGATGCAAACCACAACAGTCTGTCCTTTACTTTGCACGGAATGTCCTGTCATACCTCTGACCACTGGAACCCTAAGCATTTTACTGATTTAGCGAGCCCCTCAGTCTTCATAGGGTTTCCCTCTCGCCCTCTGGGACACATGTGTAAGGCCTCCAGTGTACTAGCTACTTCTTGCTCATCTGGTCCAACTAGAAGATGCTGTCAGTGTGACATCCTGTGGGATCCCCAGATGTGCACATCTCTTCAGACTATATTATGACAGAGGGTAGAAGAGCTAACATAGTCCTGGGGCAAAACTGGAATATTTTTGTCCTTTTAGTTTGAATGCAAACAGTTTCTGATTTTCTTTTCCACTAAAGATAGAGAGGAACGTCTTCTCCATATCAATAACTGTGTAGCCTATACCCGAGACCTATTAATCTCCCCAGCAAAGACACCACTTCTGGCATGGCAACAGCAATGGGGACCACTACTTTGTTGAGTTTGAGTAGTCTGCTGTCATTCTCTAGGATCTGTCTGGTTTCTGCACGTCCAGATTGATCAATTAAAAGGAGATATGATGGGGACCACTACCCCTGCATGCTTTAAATCCTTGAAGGTGGTACTTATTTCAGCTATCCCCCCTGGAAATTGATATTTTCTTTGATTTAGTGCACATGTGGGCAGGGTAGGAGGGAGAAGCAGCCTCAGAAGTTTGTACTTGGCTCTCCCCGTAATGGTAGTTCTTATCCCACAGGCCAAGGACTCAGTGTTAGTTGGTTGCTCTGACTACCAATAAGTCTGTCCCAACTGTACATTTGAGGATGAGAGAAACAATTGCCAACTGGGTCTGTAGAACTGGTAGATACCTGCTGAGTTAGATGTTGGTCCGATGCCATTATTCCTGGTCCCCATATGCTCCCATTTCAACAGAAGGGCCACAGTAATGCTTCAGTCCTCCAGCTATCAGTGTAAACTGAGACTCGGTCGGCAATATTCTGAGATATATTTGGGTATTCCCCTTGCCTTGTGTACAGTTACCTGAATAAATGGCTGAGGTCCTTTGGGGAAAGACTGGAGGAATCATTGCCATGTTCATTTGCCATTGTGTTACAGGATCTGTCCTCCTAGGGACTCAGTCTCCTTTTTAATCAATGAGGTGCTGTCTGAAAACTGGCTAAAGTCTGGAAACTATGAAAGGGATCAAGACCCTTTATGGGGCTGACACTCCTTAGTCTCCTGGTCATGCATCATTGGTTCTTTTGCAGGTGTAAGGTGAGCAATGCCTTTGTCAGCTGCCCATCTTTTTTGCCCTGGTGATGCCTTCCCAGTCATTATAATACCTGCATCCTCCTGGCTTCTGATGGTTAAGCATGGTTTTGCTTTGCTTGCTCTCCTGTACTGTTTGGAGGTGAGGTGGGGTCCTGTCATCCCCATTGGTTCTGGTGGGCCTAGTTGTATAACGGCCTCTCCTACCTTCAGCCCTGGCCTAAAGACAAAGGACACTTCTGAACTTCACAGCTCTGCTGCTGACCCTTTGCCAGTTCATTTCTGCTGTGTCATAAGTGGTATGTCCTCTGGGATTTCCTGTGGAACATGCGTTTTCTGGCCTTCCATGATATTTCCTCTCCAGCCTGCTCACTCACAAGGAGCCATTTGAGCCCAGAAATTCTGGCACTGGAACCTCACTAAGTTGAGCTATCACTTTTTCCTTGCTTTGAGGTGCCATCCTAATGCCAGTTTGCATGCTCTCCTGGGGTCCTTGCTGAAGAAGGTTAAATTCTAATCAAGGCCAGTCTGCTACGCTAAGGTCAGGGCCCTGGTTGGGAAAGAATGGGGCCCTGACACCTGGATGCAGGGCAGCAATTAAGGAGAGGCAAAGAGGCCTCATCCAGGGTGCAGAGTGTAAGTGAGCACTCACTCTCAGGCCCGTGCAGGTGCAGGGAGAGAGTGACTCCTGAAGTTTTGCACCTTTTTGCTGCCTTCAGAAATCTTGAATCTCCAGATTCCCCTGTGCTCCTGAGTCTGCAGAAGTAGCCTGCCCCTCTTGTGAAGAGCTGGCACCTTCCTCTTGCTTGGAGGCAATGCAGAGACCTTTCCCCTGCAAGACAACATGAGCCCCCTTCAGGATGTGCCCCACCTCCCCTCCTGGCCTGTAGGCTTATAAGTAGGGTTACCTCATGGCATTTCCCAGCTGAGGACTCGCTAGGCCTGCTAATTGAGGAAAGGAGCTGCAGGACCTGGAGCAGCAGGACATGGCGGGTATATGCAGACTGGTTCTGAGAGTGCTGGGTCACAGGGCCCGGAACATAAGGTTGGAGAAGGGAGAGTACATTGATTTGGGAGTACTCTCCCTAGATCAAACTCCCTGGTGAGGACCCCAGGATGTTGTGCAGACTTGCTATGAGGAAGATCTGGACAGTGCATCACTGTCCCACTACTTCCTGTGCCAGATCTCTGCAGAAAACTCACGGGCAAATGAACTGGGACGAGGATCTATGGAACGAGGAATTCCGATTCTTTGGACTTAGACAGTGTGAAGTGTATAAGTAAGACTTTAAATTTGACTCTTACCCCACGCTTGGTGCTTGCTCTACTCACTAGCATTAATAACTTCTTTACAGATGATATTCCTACAAGTGTTGTCTGTATTTACTTTCTCATTCTCTGACTCTTCCTTCATGTTTTAGCCCACTGAGCTCAGACTCTGCCTCTTACTCAGGTTCAAAACCCCAGTGGACACTTTTCAGTTCTTACGTAATGAGATGAAAAACTGATTTTGTAACAACTGTCAGTGGAATTCCTTGTAGGAAAGAATTTGTCTTTGCACGGTATAGTTGGCAGAATAATGCACCCCCTGCCAAGATGTCCACATCCTAATGCCAGAAACTGTGAATATGATATATTACAAGGCAAGATGGAATGAAAATTGCAGATGGAATTAAGGTTGCTAATCAGCTGACGTTGAGATGGGGAGGGTATCCTGGATTACCTGAGTGGGCCTAATGTCATCACATGGGAAGAAGGGGGTCAGAGTCAGAGAGAGAGATTTGAAGATGTCATGCTGCTGGCTTTGAAGATGGAAGAAAGGGCCACAATCTAAGGACTGAAGGCAGTCACCAGAAGCTGAAAAGGCAAGGGAACAGATGCTCTCCTAAAGCCTCTAGAAGGAACGCAGTCCTGCTGACAACGTGATTTTAGCCCAGGGAGACCCATCTCAGACTCTGGCCTCCAGAATTATGAGATAATAAATTTGTATCGTTTTAAGTCACTGAGTTTGTGGCAATATGTTATAGCAGCAATAAGAATCATGGGGATGCCTGGGAAAACACTTTGAGACAGAGCTTGGGGCAGAAGATAAGGAAGAATGAATGGTAAGCATATGCAGAAGGAGAAGCCTTTGTCTGGGGAGGAGGAGACAGGAGAAACAGCATCAGCCTGGTGTGGTGTGAGGTGAAAGGCTGGAGCCACTGACTAGTTCTCTCCTGGTCTTCATTGCCATCCTAACAATATCTTTCTCTGTTGACCACTCTTTCCATCTCCTCACTTCTTTTCCCCTTGGCTTCTGTCATGCCACACCTGCAGAAGGAGACATCACATCAGAACTTGGTAAAGCAAAGCCTTCAGAGGCCTCTTGTATATCTGGGGGTCTTCTTGGGGCTTCCCTGGTCTAACTAGAATGACCCACCCCTATGTGCCCAAACAGCCCTCCATCATTGTATTTGTATTGGATTTCTTCCTGTCTCTGATTTCCACTCTGTACTGTGAGCTCCGTGAGATGGGTCTTCATCATTTTGGCTTCCAGATTTTACCACAATGCCTGCGCATGGCAGATGCTGATGAACTCTTTGTCAAATAAATGAATGAATGAATGGAAGGATCCTGAGTTCAACTTTGAAAAGTGTTGAAGATTTGAGTCCAGGAATTAAAGTTGATAGGTGGTCAGTTGATGTTTACAGGTTCTATGATCAAAGACTGTTATGGGAGAGCCTTTTCTGAAGTCCAGCATCTATCCCCATGATTCTGTACCCAACAGTCTTGAAGGTGCCATCCTGGAGCACAGCTTCCCACAAAGTGAAGGGACTTCTGCTGGCAATGAGGTAGACCTGCTGTGGTGGAGGGCTGGAGCTGGGGTGGGAAACTGAAGTACACAGGAGATGGACAAGAAATCTAGTGCTGCTGCTAATCACCTTTTACTGAAAACCAATCTCTATTTGGAACCTGGGACAATTTATTTGAGCTATGCTATGGGTTCAATTGAGAACCCTAAAATTCATATGTTAAGTCCTACTCTTAGGGCCTCAGAATGTGACCTTATTTAGAGATTGAGTCTTTACAGAGGTAATCAAATTTAAATGACATCATTAAGGTGAGCCCTAATCCAATGTCTGGTATCCTCATTAAAAGGGGAAATTTGGACGCAGAGACAGACATACGTAGAGAGAAGATGCATAGACGTGGAGATGTGGAGAGACTGCACAGAGGGAAGAGACGTCCATCTACAAGCCAAGGAGAGGTGCATGGAACGGATCCTTCCCCCACAGCTCTCACAAGGAACCCACCCTGCTGACTGACACCTTGATTTCGAACTGGCCTCCAGAATTGTGAGGCAATCAATTTTTGGTGTTTAAGCCGCCCAGGCTGTGGTACTTTGTTATGGCAGCTGTAGCACGGTAACACAAGCCAGAAACCTGAGCGTATGTATTCACTTCCAGAAACTTGTGCTCTCTCCTGGGAAGCTGAGCTTCTCCATCACAAACCTTAGATGAGAAGGTGGGCCCTTCTCGGCCCCTTCTTGTTTGTGATGGAGGTTTAGTATCAAAGATCCCACCTCTCTTGGCTGCACCTACAGCACCAAGAGGAAAACGTGAAAATGCATCAGGCCCACCCGGGGGTGGGAAGGTGGAAGAAGGTCAGTGAAGAGTGACCTATTACAATGTCGACTTTCTGAGAAGAGGAATTAAAGGTACGTAATCTCATTTTCTCCAGAGACAAGTAATGATTATAGGGCCCCAACTTCTGGAAAGTAAGAGGCTTTTGCGAATGTCTACAGAGATAAATAAAGTTAAAGAACAGGTTATAAATGGGGCCTGTGCTTGGGGACTGTGACTCAGTGACACAGGTTGTGTCTGTCACTCTAACTAGATTCTCGCAGCACAGCCCTCCCTCATTTGTGTGATTTCTTCACGTTCCCAGCATCGCTCTGCCCCAACGGCTCTGAAAGATCGAGCCTAGGAAGAGAAAGGAAGAAGAGGTTTTCTCCTCTTTCTGACTCAATTTGGAAAGACACATATTAATGAAAGAAAGTTTACAAAATGCACTCTTAAGTGTTTACAAGTGATGAATTTTTTTTCCCCTCTGTGGAATGGTTTCATTTATTTAATAGAATCCTTTATTGATGCCTGATGCTGACCTGACCTAGCGAGCTTGGCCATACAGTGACTTTCAGTGCTGCCATCTCACTGTGACCCTTGTTGGCAAGTCATGTTCAAAGTGTCAGAGAGAGGTTCATTTCCATTCGTGCAAGCCCCCAATTCATCACCTGTTGTTTACTTTGCTTAGGTAAATGCACTGGGGACAAATAACAGTGTCTTAAGTTGAAGCTATGGGTGGGTAATTGTGCTGGGAAATACTAAATTATAAACACTTAAATTAGGAGTCTAGATGTGTCTTCATAGAAAGTATCTTATGCCTCCTGGGTACAATGTGGGGACGATGAGATGGGCCAGAAAGAAAGATGAGAGTGAGATCTAAGTGTATGCATTTGGGAGGAGTGGCAGCCACTGGACTCTGGATTTGTAGGGGACAAGGATGATAGGCAGGGTGCTCCAGGGGTCTAGACAGGATAAATTACACTGCATAGCAATGGTCTTGGAGAAGGAAGGTTAAAATGAATAGCAAGGGCAGCCCCAAAGGGAAGGAACCAGGCAGGCAGTGCTAGGAACCGTATCATATGTTTCCAAAGCACTAGGTTTAGGCTCACCTGTGCGGATGATGATATGAATAGGTCTGATACAGGGGGACCTTCCATCCCAAGCTCTTAAGAACATGGAAGTCAGTTTACCCTTACATGTTCAGAATGATAAAGCACATTTTTCTGGGTGATGTGACATTTGGCAAGGGACAAGAGGTCAGGGCAGACATGCATTTTCTGCCACGCACTCCCAGATGGGTAGCTCCATGCAGGAGTCAGTGTATGCTTATGGTGTTATAAGACAGAGCTGTTATGGGTGGGACTGGCTGGGGTTCCCCCTGACAGGCTGCAGGGCTAACCA